AAGTAACGGAAATAAAATAAACAAAAATAAATAATGAAAAAAAACATGAAAATAAAATAAATAATAAAAAAGTAAGAAAATAAAATAAATAAAAAGTAATGAAAAAAACTAATGAAAATAAAATAAATAATAAAAAACGTAATGAAACTAAAATAAATAAAAATAAATAATGAATAAAAACTAATGAAAATAAAATAAATATTAAAAAGTAACGGAAATAAAATAAACAAAAATAAATAATGAAAAAAAACATGAAAATAAAATAAATAATAAAAAAGTAAGAAAATAAAATAAATAAAAAGTAATGAAAAAAACTAATGAAAATAAAATAAATAATAAAAAACGTAATGAAACTAAAATAAATAAAAATAAATAATTAAAAAAAAAGTAATGAAAATAAAATAAATAATAAAAAATAATTTCGCTTACCATTGATGCCGACAGAAGCAGTACGTTCAGACAAGTCTCGATTGTCGATTTACCAGCCAGCTCCGCTATAGACTTTCCAGTGAGAGAAGTGAACATGTGGCAGAAATACAGCAGGGTTTCGAAGGCGTCCTTGTTGGCGGTTCCCGCGAACTTGAGCCCCATGGCAAAGCAAGCCCCAGCAACTATGTTGCAGTAAGCCTGACTGTGAAAAAAAATCGATTAACGGTTAGAACTGAAACGAAAAGGAATAATTTCGACTCACTTCATAGCTTCGTAGTCGATGTCTAAGGAATGACACGGTTTCACCATGCAATACGGCCTGATGGTCGAGGGAACTTGCCCTTCCACCCACCCTTTGCTTGGTTCCACGTCGTTCCACAGTATCAACGCTAAAAAATCGAAATTAAGTGTTTTTCAGTAAAAAAAAGGCTGTGCTTACATCTGGATAATATCCTCAGCATGAGAAAATCGGGTCTAACGAAATCCAGCAGGTACTGGGTCTCAGGCGGGGCCATCCAGTCGGCCACCGCCTTGTTTCCAGTGCCCAGGTACATCAAGCCCAAAGCTAGAGTCGCTCCGGGTGCCGTTACGTCCAAATTAACGGAGGTACCTTCCCTGATTTGGAACGAGGGTGTCTTGTACTTGTCTTTTTGACTACCTGTTAACACATTTATACTATTTAAGCATCAATTTTACAATAAAAAAAAATTGATGTCTTTACAGAAAAATTACCCCCAATATTCTCAGCTCATTTCGTACACAGACCTACCTGTTAGGGCCCTTTTATTTCCACCGACCATATAATAATGCAAAGTATCCGGCACGTTCAAATCCGACAATCCGGCAGGGTGTCCGCCGTGCTTCAACGTGACTAATCCCAAAGAAAGCCCCGCCGCTAAAGAATACGACTCCCGATCCACGCTATTCTCCATCTCAGGCCCCGGCGGTCGACCGATTTCCGACAGCAGCACCTCCGTCATGTGCCTGTGGGCGGTTCCCTGGTACAACAAGCCTATTCCCAGCAAACCGGCCACCTGTAAGTTCTGAGGAACGTCTAACTCCATCGACGTGGGAGGTAACAGAGCTTCGACGTGAATCGCCAAAGTTTTCGTGAGGTTGGGATGGCAGGTACCACGAAAAGCGGCGGACAATCCTTGAAAAGAACAAGACGTTTAAATGCGACGGTCGCATCAAGACGCAAGAATATTCACCTAGTAAAATCCCCACGCTCGTCATCTCGTGCAACTTCTCCAAATAATTAAAGGTGCTGTTCAAAGCCAAATTCTTCAAGTGCCCGTTCAGCCCCAACGCTAGCAAGAACCCAGCGTGTTCCATCTGAGGATCGATGCCGCTTTTCGATTTGTTAAAAATAATCCAGGTGTTGTCGATGTTATGCGCGTCGGGCGTGATACGCAGCCCGTTCGCCACCCCGTTGTGGAACAGGGGCCACAGGTTCATGTTCGCCGGCGTATCGATGTGGTTCAAGTCCACCGTCGTGCCTCGGGGCGGGGCCCTGCCCGTGAGGCAGAGAGGTGGCGCCGGGAGGGGTTCGGTTATCACGGGGGTGGCGGTACGTAACGTGAACATACCCCTGATATAAAAAAAATTTAATCAAACATTAAAAAAAATATTGATTGTTTCTGTCGTGTTACTAGATGCAATTTTTTTGAATTGGTGGCGTTATATTTATAAATTATTAGCGTAAATGTGTTATATTCTAATTTGTTCAAAAAGTATAAAAATCGATGTTAAAATTTACAATGAAATCCAAAACTGTATAAATCCAAAAAAATATTTATACAAAAAACGAGTAAATCCGCTAGCAATATTCTGCTTCTGCCATGTTTCGCTGACATTCACTGTAAGTTATGCTTCTGCCATGTTTTGCTGACATTCATTGTAAGTTATGCTTCTACCACGTTTTGCTGATATTCATCGTAAGTTAACAACATATCAACACAGCCATTATTTTAATATAAACTTAAGGGATTTATGTAACCCGCTATAAATCACGTACAATCTTACCTGCCAACAGGTAACGCCATGGTCCTGATACAAATTCCGTATAGATGCTTCTCCTGTTCCTCGATAAAGTCATGATCGGAAACGTCGGGCCTCTGGCTAAGCACTATAGGTACCGGTTTGGAGCTCTGCAACATGTTTCTAGCCTCGTTCACCCTCACGTCTTTGTTGAACCTCAATTTCGTGAGAGAATTGTCGATGTCCTCCATACCGTCCGACTGTTCCGAATCGGCTTTGATTCCCGGCATGACGTCTTGCAACTGGGTGCTGCTGAACATCCCGACGAGCTCCTGGGAAGATTCCTGCTGATCCTTGTAAAAAAAAAAAGTTGTTCGAACAAATACGTTAAAGACTGTAAACACGTCATACTTTTTCCATTTTTTGGGCCTGGGCGGCAAGGTCCTCCCTCCACAGCAGGTAGTAGGCGTCGGCGGGCCAATCAGAAGGGGGATTTTCTCTGCATTTCCACAGGGCGTTGTAAAACAGGAAATAAATACCGACGGGTAACGTATCTAAGTAGCGTGTGGTGATTTTCATCTCGACCATGAGCAGAACGACTTGCTCTATCGCCGTGTTATCTAAAACGATCGTTTTAGACGGTTGAGCCTGATAAAAAACGTCTGAAGTAGACACGTCTTTAACGAAGCTATCTAACTGTATTTCGCCGGCGGTCGAACGGTTTGCTTCGGATAATATGCCGCATAACTGGAAAATTTAGGGCGTTAACAAAAAAAAGGACATTTATCGGAATCTAAAGATTTTAAATCCTCAAAGAAAAAAAATAGTCACTTTATAGTAAAATTAACACACAGCTCATTGAATCACAACCTCAATATCTAGCAAAAACTAGGATCATTTGTCAAAAGTAGGTACCTGTGAAACGGCAGGTCGCTCTCTGTCAGTTCACCACACTGAAGGTCTACGCTTTGTGTAGCAGATTTTATTTGATAGTTATTTAAGTTTCAGTAACGACGCTGAGGTAACAATAATTTGTATTGAAACCAGCATATACGGGGCATAAAAAAAACGAGTTTCCAATTTTAAAATAACTTACCTGGACGATATCCCTGGATCTACCGTTGACATTCGCTAAATACGGGTAAGCTTGCACAACCCTCCTGTTCAACAAATCGTAAATGTGCCGAAACACGTTCGGCGGCTTGTCGTTAAGAACGGGCCAGACGTTGGCGCTCTTCAAGACGTTCTGAGCGATGCTGGAGTCGCCCTTCAAAACGCCCTGGTCTGGGAAATCTTTCCAGTAGTGCAGACTGTACTCTTCCAGATCTAAGTCGAGGGAGAGTTTATTTAAAAGCCTCATTAACGGTGCAAGATCCTGCGACCTTAGAGTGTTCAATTTTAAGTCCTCGTAGAGCAAGTGCAGCGAAAAATGTATCAGCCTGATGTACGGGAATAGCACGCTTTTTGGATTTACGGCGACGTTACGTCTTTCTTCAGGTTTCGCGATGTACGGACCGCGGGTAAGTTTGAGGTTCCGGCTTAAATTTTCACCGACGTACTGATGCTGCGCGTCGCATATGTAATTCCAGTCGTCTTCGGTGCCCGTCGAGTACTGTTTCTGTCTTTTCGTTGCACTCGAAGGGGTTACTGGTACGTCTTTAGACACCTCGATGGACTGGTCTTCGTCGTACCCCAACAGCTCTGTGAACAAAATAAGCATGCTCCGTAATAAAATAATTTATATGCAAATATGTGTTTTTTTTTAATATCCCTCACCCGCTCTCTATAGCAGGTTTATTGAAATAGGACCGAATCGACAGATTTATTCCGACAACAACATGAGAAAATGGAGAACACCACTCACCTAAAAGCAGTCCCGTGAACGTGCCCCATTCCTGCTCCGGATTGGTATCCTGGGCCCCGAGCACGTTCTTTGTGGCGTACCACCTGCACAACAACACTATAGCCACCTCCTTCTGCAGAACTTGTTGCAGGCACACCAGACAGCTTTCGACTAGGGAGGAACACGCCAAGCTGGGCATGGTTATCCTGTAAAAAGTACCGTCGGAATACTTGAGGGTCATACGGTTCTCTACGGCGTCTATCAGGCCGCTTAGAATCGATCTCGCCGTGTTATCTGAAACGCAAAAGGTTTTGAGACGAACAAATTCCTATTAAATTCTACGCACGGTCCGGAAACGACAGCTGTAACACGTTCGGATTCCGTTGAATCGTGGAGGAAATAGCCGGTAAAACGGGCGAGAGCAGGTGTTCGTCGAATTGCGCGTCGGTTTGTTTAATATGGGGCAGAAGGCTGCTCCTCCTGTATAAAAAAAAAAATAATTATATTAAATACTAAAGCTGAAAAAAAAGTTACACAATTTCTGTCAATTTTAAGTTTGGCCAATTAATCTCGAAGCACCTTGTATACAAACTACTGTTTACCTTGGAAATGGAGAACACATGAGGTTCATATTTCTTCTAACATAGGGCGAAGGCGTGTGCTGCGCTAACGTGCCGCCAACATGTAATTTACCGACAATGGTGAGCCCGGAATACAGCGTAACGTTGCCGTTGTGCTCCAGGATGGCCAACATATGCAAGAACTACAACGCACGCAAGTAATACTGCATTCAACGAGCAAAACTAAGTACTTACCGGTAGAGGTACAGCGTCTTTGGCGCTTATACTCGTCGATATCGTGAACGCAATGTTGGTAGGAGTGGAAAAGTCGATTTTTACGATAGAAAGCTGACATCTGGAAGCGAGTATGTAGCAGAGGTACCACTGACCGACCAAATCGTCTACGAGGAACACCTTTGAGGCCGGTCCAGCTATGTTGGATTCCCTAAAACATCGAGAACGTGATACTTTACGTTCGACTAAGCAAATAATGACAACTTACTGAACGGAATAATTATCGGTCCACAAATAGTCCAGACAAAGCAAGGGATTTGATCTCAAACAGGACATTGTCTTCGAGTAATCAAAAAAGGATTTATTTGACAGATTTGACTTGTCCGCTTTCAAGTAACTACTGTTAAGTCTGGAATTCTGCGCGAGCCAAGGGCTCTCATACGAAGAGACAGCCGGTGATTGGCAGCGACTAAAAATAAGACGAACCTTAGGACAAATAAAAATAACGGGTATTTTTACCTTATCGTTGCCATGGAACTAAACGATCGAGTTTGCTGCAAATGTCCTGCACTCGTAACGATCGAAGGCTTCACACCAACCAGGCTCGGAGTTACCAAATTATTGCTATTTACTAGATTATCCCATATAGACAATTTGCTTTTAAGCTTGAACGAAAATAGTAAAATAAAATGCGTTTAGTAATTTCAAAGAACCAAATAAATTTACTTACCCTATTCGATGTATTGACGGTGGAATAATTACTGTTTAGTTTACTGCCGAAATCTTTCTCATTAGGTTTGATCTTCCTTATTCGATAAACGCTGTGCTGCTTAGTCGTCGAATCGTAGATCATACACAAGCTAGGATGGTCACTAGTGAAAACCACTTTATAGTTGTTATTGTTAAGAACATTCATAGTATTTGACTGATGTAAAGCTACCGGGCAAATATCGTCTAAAGGATAAGCTAGCGAGTATAATGTTGCAGGGTAGTCATAAACTAAATCTCTAGAGGAACCTAAAACTATTAAATTCACCAATAAAAGATAGTCGCAGTTAAAACTAAAAAATTACTCACCTTCATTTTCTACCTCAATGAATATACCGAATTTTGTACTCCACAATTTATTTATCGGAAAGGGTACAGCGATGGTAAAATTCTCCCCTTTTGGCGTGTACACCCTTATATTATGCGAATCTGTGATACAAACTGCCTCAACAGGCGAGCCAACAGGAGAGTCAGATTTCACTGCATCCAACAGGTTAGAATCGAAACTAGGTCGCTCACAGTAAAATGTACACCACAGTGCTTGTTGCACAGGTAAAGGTGATGTGTAACAGCAAATCGTTTTCCTACCGTTGTCTAGACCATCCGCGTTGTTAACTAGACCTCGAGACCATATGACTGTGTGACCTTTGACATATAGTTCATCTTCCATATAGTTAGGGTCGACTTTAGCACGAAACGTAGAGTTATCAGCTGACGTCGGCTTACCAAAATGAGATTTATTAGTACCGCTGCTACTTTTCGACTCATTCTTGTGTTCGCTCTCTAGAGACACTCTCTTACTAACAAATCTTGAAACATTTGCGTCTGACACCCTCTTTCCAAGCTTATTAAAAGAATAAGCATCCACGCTGCTTTTAAAACTGGAGGATTCGTCCAAATAATCACTATAACGAGATTTATTACTACAACAAGGTGCATAACTCTTATTGTTTGACACATATTTATCGATTTCTTGAGTATCAGTTTTATTTGTGTGCTTAACTGTTGCTCTACGTAGAATCCACCATTCACTTTTTCTTGTATCAACTAACGATACTTTCTCAAGTTTATTCAATAAGAAGTCATCCGCTTCTCCGGGTGTCCTCTTCATAGGGTGCTCCAAGGGACCGGGGTGGCGTAATGCTTGCTGCCGGCCACTTGGAACATATTCCTACGGTTTTACAATTTACAAAAAACATAAGACATCAATCAATTAAGTACCTGTGGATCAGAGGCAGCAATCATTATTTCTTCTTTTTCATCCAGATTTGCTGCAATTTTAAATTATTCTTGAGAAAATAATCCGTAAAACTAAAACAACTCAATTATTTATTAATCTGACATCAGTTAATAAAAATCAAAATTTAATAAACTATTATCCCGAATTTTATTTGATCAAACGCGCCTACAAACTACTAGGATGTTTTTGCCATTATCACGAAAAGTTACGGAACAAATCGTACCCCTGTTCCATGGTACGCGTGCCATGGCACGGGACGTGTGAAATTTGAGTGAATACGCCTATCTATATGTTTTTATTCATGTGACCGAATTGTGGAAATAAGGTCTGTTTATTTATATTCTTGCGCCAGTCACCAGTCCTAAAAAGATTTTTAAAATTAAATTGGTGCGTTTATTGAAAATTTCTACACATTTGATATACAATTATAAAACGTGGAAAGTGACAAAAATTTGCTGGTAAGTTAGTTGGAGAGATATACGAATGTTTCCTTCAAAATTTTTAATATCAACATGTATTTTTTAATGTTGTAATAGCGTTTAAATTAGGTTTGAACGCATCAATCGAACATTTCCAGAATCGTAACATGTCAGAGAAAGGAAAACGCCTTACACAGTTTCCGGTGGCGGAACTTACTCATCGCAGGGCTGCCAGTGAAAGTCCCTAGAATCTTGGTTACTTTTCCGCCTCGTGTTCTTCCTTTCGTTAAGTGACTTGGACGAGAATGGCCACTACAATTTCAAAGAAGCGTAAATTCGTCGGAGACGGCGTTTTCAAAGCCGAATTGAACGAGTTTTTGACTCGCGAGTTATCCGAAGATGGATACTCCGGTGTCGAGGTGCGGGTCACCCCAACACGCACCGAAATCATTATTATGGCAACAAGAACCGACAGAGTTTTGGGAGAGAAAAACAGAAGGATCCGAGAGTTAACATCTGTAGTGCAGAAAAGATTTAATTTCCCTGAAAATTCAGTGGTTTTGTATGGTGAGAAGGTGGCTAACCGTGGTTTGTGCGCTATAGCTCAGGCGGAGTCCCTCAGGTTCAAATTGATTGGAGGATTAGCTGTACGTAGGGCATGTTATGGTGTCTTGCGTTACATCATGGAATGTGGAGCTAAAGGTAAATTACTTATATTTACGGACAAGAATAGAATGTAAACAATACTGTTTCTAGGTTGCGAAGTAGTTGTGTCTGGAAAGCTTCGTGGACAGAGAGCGAAATCCATGAAATTCGTCGATGGATTGATGATTCACTCTGGAGATCCCTGCAATGATTATGTAGACACAGCCACCCGTCATGTACTCTTAAGGCAAGGAGTGTTGGGCATTAAAGTTAAAATTATGTTGCCCTGGGATCCTAGCGGCAAAACCGGACCTAAGAAGCCTTTGCCTGATAACGTATCTGTTGTTGAACCTAAGGAAGAAATTTTACCGTTGTTCCCAAGCAGTGAGGTCAAAGCTGTTAAACCCGATGCACCTCCCGCAATACCTGTCGCTGTAGCATAGGTTATAAAGATGATTTTTCAATAAAATTACATAAAAATTGACAGGATTTTATTGGTTTTTATTTATTTGTATCAATCGAAAGTAACCCTCAATGTGATTAATTTATCACATAAAAGGATCGCCTGTGTACCTGATATATAAATTTTTATGAACCGAAATAAAACATTGGAAAAAGAAATATTCTCTAAATTAAATTTTCATTAAAAATTTGTATGACAGCGTTAATGAATAAATTTAAAATTAAAAAAATATTGAAAGATTGAGAAAATGAACTTTGAGAATGGGTTGCTGCTCATTTTTTGTGAACATATGTAATATGTTTTCTTGTATTAAAATTACCTAACGACAAAAATTGTAGAAGCAACCAATATTTTTGTAATTATTTACACAAGGGATAAATTACATTCTTTGTAGATTACTTTATTTCTTCATTTTACAATTTAGGAGCATCTATCGAAAGAAATATAATTTTGGAACAAAATTTGAGCACTGCTACATGTTCAGTTTGTTAAATTGCCGAATATCACATTGTTTATCGTAAGATATGTTCACTTTCGCGTATACAACTTTTAAATATTGGCGCCATATTTTATGCTTGATTTAAACTAACCAATTGAACAATAGACACGAATTCCTTTCATTTCATTGGCTGCTATTTAAAGCTGTCAGAATCATAAAAACAAAAAGGTAGTTGGTAACCGAAATTTTTCATTTCCGTCAAAACCGTGGAGAGGCAGTTTGTGAGTACGTCGTTATTTTTTTTTAAGGGCCTCGATAGAAGTTATAGTAAGAAAAGATAGGCGAACTCTATTTTTACGTTCAAATTACACTATTTTTGTGTTCATGTACTTATAAATACGTAATTTCACGTACGCATCACGTGTTAAGTACTAAAGGCCTAATAGTTTTTACGAAGAAGCCGGTAGGTTTTTTATAGAGACCGTTTGATTTGAAATATCAGTCCAGAACAATGGCAGACGAGAACAGAATAAGATCCTTCAAGAATAAAGGCAAGGATACAGAGGTAAGTTAAGCAATTAGATTATTCTAGAATAGTTTTGTATGTCTAAAATTCCCAACAGGAGATGAGAAGACGACGCATAGGCCAAACTGTTGAACTGAGGAAGGCCAGAAAAGATGATCAATTGCTCAAACGAAGAAACATATCCACATCGGAAGAACAAACGTCTCCACTCCAAGAAAGCAATTCTACTTCGCCCGTTCCAATGAATGCGGAGGAGATTATGTTTGGTAGGGCTGCGTTATTGACTCATAAAGTCCATTCGATTATATTTAGTTGCATATAAATAAATTTATGTATTTTGTCATTGTAGGTATGATGAGCCCTGATGAGAATATTCAGTTCAAGGCAACACAATCTTGCAGAAAAATACTCAGCAGGGAGAAGAACCCTCCGATCGATCATATGATTAGGTTGGGCGTTGTACCGAGATGCGTCGAGTTTCTTGGGAAAATGCACAAGTAAGTAAAATAACAGTTATATTTGATATGTATTCGACCATTTGTATGAAATTCAAGGAATTGTCACATTGGAACAAACATATATGCTTACAAACTCATTTTCATATCTCGATTACAAACTTTTCTCCCTTTATTAGTCCGTCGTTACAATTTGAAGCTTGCTGGGCCCTCACCAACATCGCATCGGGTACGTCGGAGCAAACGGCTGCCGTGGTACAGGAAGGGGCCATCCCCAGACTGCAGGCTTTGTTGGCGTCGCCGCGTATCGACGTTGCCGAACAGGCAGTATGGGCTCTAGGCAACATCGCCGGTGATGGTGCCATCACCCGCGACATGGTCCTAGCTTCCGGGGTGCTTCCAGATCTGCTCAACCTGATAAAACCCGATACTTCCATCTCTCTGCTCCGTAACACCGTTTGGGCCATCTCCAATCTCTGCCGAAACAAGAACCCCTGCCCAGATTTTAACTTTGTGAAGCCCGCGTTGCCGACACTCGCTAAGTTGCTGTCGTATAACGACAAAGACGTGCTTGCGGATACTTGTTGGGCCCTGAGCTATCTGACGGACGGTTCTAACGAGAAGATCCAGGCTGTGTTGGACACCGGGCTGATCGACAGGCTGGTCCAGCTGTTGTATAGCGATGAGAATACCGTCTTAACACCTGCACTGAGGGCAGTTGGTAATATCGTTACCGGGAACGACCAGCAAACCGATATGGTTATCAATGCCGGGGCGTTGAAAGTTATGGGCAAGCTGCTGCAACACAACAGGCTGAATATTGTTAAGGAGGCTGCCTGGACCATTTCGAATATCACTGCAGGTATTTTTATTTATTTGGGGTTTGTGTGTGTGTATGTATATAAACGGTGTGAATCAGAAGCGGGATCTACGTTTTACGGAGGTGTTGAGACTACAATTTTTTTTTGTCATGTGCAGGTAACAGCGAGCAGATCCAGAAAGTTTTAGACGCCAACATCATGCCTCCGCTTCTGCACGTCCTGCAAACCGGCGACTTCAAGAGCCAGAAAGAAGCTGCTTGGGCCGTCACCAACTACACCAGCGGCGGGACCATAGCGCAGTTGGCGAAACTGGTGGAGATGGGAGCTCTGAAGCCCATGTGCAACTTGTTGAATTCGAAAGATTATAAGACTGTCGTCGTCGTTCTGGATGGGCTAGCGAATATCCTAAACGTAAGTATATACTTTTATTTTACAGTTTATGTTAATTTATTTGTCGTATTTTTTAGGCTGCGAATAAAATGGGTGAGGTTGAAAAAGTGGCGATACTGATCGAGGAATGCGGCGGCTTGGATAGTATCGAGGCTTTGCAGACTCACGATAATGAGAAGATCTACGAGAAGGCTCTTAGTGTTATCGAAAACTATTTCTCGGAGGTATGTGTAATTTTAAATTCATTATTCTGTGCAAGGTTCTGAGTTGTTTTCTTTGTAACGGGTGAGTTTCGTCTCGTCCCCTTTTGGGATTGTAGACCAGTCGGTATAAGGCCGAGAAAAAGGTTATGTTCCCGGTCGTCATGATGCATTCTTGATCACATGACAAAATTTAAATGTTTGTAGAATGTTAAACATCTATAATTATTTTGTAGCATAATAATGTTTTTTATGCAAGTTTGTTGTCAGTTATAGACTACAAATTTGTATAAGTCCAACCCAATTACGCTTGGAGAAAAAAATCTTGTTACTTGGACATGGAAGTGGAAATGATAAAAGGGCTTATAATAAACCTAAAAAAAATAAATGCGTGAGCAGGGGTGGTGGAGGGTTGAAAAGTTGCGAAAAATTGCATCATTGGGATTTCTGGCGAAAGTTGACGTCAAACAAAAAAATATCTAATAAAAAAGTTATAGATCATGCAAAATTCTACAACTTTTGTAGAAGTCACTTTTTAAGATAACCTCAAAATTTCCGAGAAAAATGTGAAAAACAGCTTTCTGGTTTTTCGTTTTTATTTCTCATTTCCGCAAAAATAATTTAATTTTGACGAAACTTGGTGAAAGTATACCTTTTTGTCTTAAATAACCACAAATTTTTTTAGATAAAAAAATTAAAAAGTTTCTGAGATATTCAATTTTTCCGGTTTGAAACACTTTTTTTCAAAGAAAAATTCTACTTAAAAAAAACATCGTACAGAGTTCTGCCGGTAATCATTTTTTTCGTTTTGACATATACTTTTTGGTGAAATAAAAAAATCTGTAATCACAGCTCAAAAGCATGCTCAAAAATGCAAAAATTAAAAAATGACAATGAATTTTTCAGTAATTGTTGATAATTTGTTCAAATTAAAAAACATTCAAAAACTGATTACAGCATTCCAATTCTACGGAAAAAAATAAAAAAAAACTGTCTCGTTTGACCCAAAACTTAATTTTTTTACAGTATTTTACAGTCTAAGTCGAATTACAAATGCACAAATGATAAATTATCTCTGAATGATTTGAGATTTCAGCAATGCAAAGTATTGACTGCAAAGTCTACTGTTGACGCAAAATCTGAAAACCCGAAATTTTGCAAAATTGCTTTATTTTTTTTCTGGCTTTATTTTAAAATAAATTGCATATTTAAATTGCCACTTTTTCCGCTATATCCAATGGAGTCAACATATTTGCAATCCGACGTTTCGTCTTCGAGGGGCCATCATCAGATTAATTTTTTTTTAAAATATCGCTGCTATTTTTATGACAAAATCTAGTCATTTTTAATTCTGAATTAGATGATATTACTATTGTAATCGCTTAAAATGGTTTTTAGCGATCATTTAAAATATTTCCTGAGTACAGCTCTGAACCCTTTCAAAATATCTATTGGAGGAAGTCATAACAGTATAAAAGTCAATACAGCACAAAGTATCCAACATTTTTTTTAATCGATAATTTAAAAAGTTGTACCTTATAAAAAAATAATACGAAATTATGAAATATTTTATTATTCCTAAATAGTATTGCTAACAGCAGTAAAAAAAATTGTTGGATATTTTGTGCGGTATTGACTTTTATAATGTTATGGCTTCATCCAATAGATATTTTGAAAGCGCCCAAAGCCGTACTCAGGAAAAATTTTAAATGATAGCTAAAACAAGCTAAAAACTTTTTAAGTGATTGCAGTAGTAATATCCTCTAATTCAGAATTAAAAATGACTAGATTTTGTTATAAAATTAGCAGCGACGTATTTAAAAAATTAACCCGATGATGGCCCCTCGAAGACGAAACGTCGGATTGCAAAAATGTTGGCGCCATTGTATAGAGCGAAAAAAGTGGCATTGTAAATATGCAATTTATTTTAAAATTCGTTTTCAAATAAAGCCAGAAAAAAAATTAAACAATTTTGCAAAATTTCGGGTTTTCTCGGGTATCTCTCGAACTACCCGGAATTTCAAGACTTTCTAAACGGCATATTTAGGTACAAAAAACTCAACTTTTTTCTGATCAGCCACCCCGTATCTCTTAATGTTTCCTAGATCCTAATACTATCCCATCCTTATCTTGGACACACTATGAATTCATCAAAATTTAAAAAAAATAAGTACACTAAACGATCCTACGGAAAAAAAATATTATTTATTTTATTTATTCACTGTTCGACTTATGTTTATAGCAATACTGTACAGAAATAAATTTTGGGTCAAACAATGAGACAGTTTTCTTGTTGTATTTTTTCCGTACAATTGAATGGTGTAATTCAGTTTTTGAATTTTTTTTTAAATTCAAACAAATCAACAATTACTGAAAAATTCATTGTTGCAAGTCATTTTTTATTTTTTTGCATTTTTGAGCATGCTTTTGAACTGTGATTACAGATTTTTTTATTTCACCAAGTATATGTCAAAACGAAAAAAATGATTACCGGCAGTACTCTGTACGATGATTTTTTTAAGTAGAATTTTTCTTTGAAGAAAAAGTGTTTCAGACCAGAAAAAATGAATATGTCGGTAACTTCTTGATTTTTTTATCTAAAAAAATTTGTGGTTATTTAAGACACAGAAAGGTATACTTTCACCAAGTTTCGTCAAAATTAAATTATTTTTGCAGAAATGAGAAATAAAAAACGAAAAATCAGGAAAAAAACTGTTTTTCGCATTTTTCTCAGAAACCTTGAGGTTATCTTAAAAAGTGACCTCTACAAAAGTTGTAGATTTTTGCATGATCTACAACTTTTGTATTGGATACTTTTTTGTATGACGTCAACTTTCGCCAGAAATCCCAATGATACAATTTTTCACAATTTTTCAACCCCCCAAATCAACCCTCCGCCGCCCCTGCTCACGCATTATTTTTTTTTCGTTTTTATAAGCCCCTTTACCATTTCCAATTATAAAATCCAGGTAACAATTTCTTTTTTTCCCCTCTCAATGAGTTATTTCGATTGATCTAATAGGTCTGAAAGAAATTAAATATTCATGCAATTTGCTTATTTCTGCAGGCGCAAGAAGCTGATGCTCGTTACTTATAAGCGCGTATTAATTATATGCTTTTATTTTATGTTTATTTTTTTAATTATATGCTTTTATTTTTCTAAAGAAATGCCAGCGGTAATATTAAACGGTGTATCCTCTATTTATTTTTCGTTCTAGACTACCGCCGAAGATATGCCGGGACCGACCACCGCCGACGGCCAAATTCAGTTCTCGGCCACCACTCAAGTGCCTAACGGAGGTTTCTCCTTTTAGATTACCCCGCACGCCCAATTTGTTACGAATACTTCAGACACCTTCATTGTGATCTCTGCATTCCAGTATTTTAGAACAAAATGAGGTGTTCAACTTTAACTGGCAAACGATACAATGTAATTTGTTCTAGGAATAGGCTGAAATGTCACTGGACGTGATGATCTTTACAACATTTTGGACGTTTTCTACTCTTGTATTTGTCTTTTTGTATTTAAATTGTTATCGTGAACTAAAAAAGTTGGTTATTTTTATCATAATTATATTGTTTTTTATAGTGCTTTTTGTTTAGTCGATAGTTAGATAGGCCTGCCATACTAAGACCTGTTACTTTAGATTTAATATTATTCTCTAATAAACTTTTAGTATACACTTTAATTTGATTTTTATTTATTTTTTCGAGCAAATATATGCCTTTAGCCATATTTAAGTTTTTTGCGGTTAGGGGGCAGCAATCGTAAATGCTGCGACACCATCGTTGCCACTGTCCTTTAACGCTAGTTTTCATGGACGTGAAATTCACGGATTTTCATCCGCATCTCGAACAACTACGCACACAGTTAATAGAAATCGGCAACCTGTCAAATTGTTTCGAAATGAAATATAGTTTGAGATGTCCTGATCAAAAGTAGTAGAGTTGTTTCAAAATCTTATGAGCTTTGACCTTGATATGCCCAGAAACATAATTCCGACCGTCGCCTAAATTATTCTACGTCGTAAAAACATTACATCCGTTATTCACAATCTATCTCGAGCTCTCATAGTGTAAACAAGCCTTTGCTCCGATTACAAATATAATAAAATGCTCTATTCTTTATTATTTTAATTTAAGCAATAAAAATATATATAATGAACGTTCTTTAGTTGACTTTATTGATGCCCGAGCGCCTTAGTTCATTTCTATTTGTAATGATGCACATGGTCTAATTCTAAATCAATGTTTTCACAACGTGCTTATTAGAAAAATAATGTGGATACGCCACACCTTTCGCGGCTCATGAGATTTTGAAACTACTCTAACAGGCCCAGCACCCAAAAATGAATACTTATCGAGATAAGTGGCATTGAAAGTGCACGAGTCCCATCGCGCTTACACATTGTCTTTTTTACGGAAAACCGTGTAACTCATCTCTATGTGACATTAAATAGGTTTATTATTTATTAAACTTGAGTTTCTGACAGTTTTATGAACAATACGGAAACCAAAAATAATATATTTGTAGTTACCCTTTCATTAATACATTTTTACCTCAATTTTACTCATAAAATGAAAAAAAAATGCAGGAAACATATTAAAGACTTTTATTACTTACCTTGATGTAAAAAGTGATAGGCTTTCTGCAGGTATTGGTTCTCCTATCCTACCCTCATTTAAAATAAAATTTCATTTTGCGGAAGGTTCTGTCAACTATTCTGGTTCGAAGATATTTGATGCACTTTGTGTGGACACTCAAACGCATTTCTCTAAAACTAAATTATAAAGAATCCCTGTTCTTTTATCTTCAACAATATATTTCGTATCCATTTCCTTTGCTTTTTGTTTTAATTCACGATTGTTTTGAAACACGCCTCACATACATAAAGTTTGTCCACTAAAAATAATAACTATATTTTAATTGGTTAATATCAGTCAATATTCATTTCATTTACTTAAATCGCTCAAAAAATGATGCAACCAAAATGTTTTGTACAAAATATCACAAAATTCAAATTTAAAAAAGAGGTTAAGTATGTTCGACAATGCAACCAACTTACACCAAGGAATCAACTTAAAAGTAAAAAGTTACTAAATAATGGGAAAGAAACTGAAATTCACATTACATGCAAAGTTTTACTACAATTATTATTAGGAACGCGATTATGAGAACTAATCATTTAATCCTTATAAAGCCATTGTAAATTCAAATTAGTACTAATATTGAATTTATGCTTCAGCTGTGTTTTATTTACCAGAGGTCCCATTAATGTCACTTAACTGAACAATCCGCATTCAAAATCTCTGAGGTTTTAATAAATAAAACAGCTGCAACTCAGTAACTGGTTCATAGTTAACTCTACCTTAAAATAACTAGTATCGACTTGGTGGTTTACTTTTAATGTAGACCTTCGTACTTGTCTAATCTTTAGAATCAGTTTCTGCATCTGCATTTCAATAAAGAATCTGTATTATGAGCAATGGACGTCCAATGGTCGTATAATTAAGGACGTTGCAGAGATGTCCACTGTTGGACGTCCGTACTAGACCTAAAATGGACTTAAAATGTACGTCCTGCGGATGTTGGATGCTAAGAGTCGACCCCGGTATTAAACGAGCTAACCATGTCCAACAAAAGTTATAAAACCAACAGATCGGTAATGAATTGTAATGCTTGTAAATAAAACTGTTGCGGAAATAAAATTTTTTGCCTCCTTCAAGTCGGGTTCGTCTGAAAATGCCACGATAGTGCGCAGATGAACAATCGATATCCCATTAGATCTCGCTGCTTCCCGGGGGATGGCTTCTGAGGCTGTGCGTGCGTGTTGTGTCCCGGATTCCGATTAAAATCGTTTCCTAAACATTTCACTGTAGTTTCCAATTCCGGAACTGTGTGGATATTTCTTAATATATTTTGGAAAATGTAAGTGCAAAACTGAATTTTCCGTGTTGATAAACACAAATATTTGAGAATAGATGTTACCAGTGGCGTGGGGATGGTTTTTTGTTTATAAAATAGATATGCAGGTTGTACACCAAACAAACTTGTATTGTAAAGTAAATAAATCGAATTTGCTGCGAATTTGAAGCAAATATTACCAATAAATATCAAGATATATTTTTCATCGATATATTTTTCATCGATATATTTTTTACACGTTTACCCTGTAAATTTAATTTATACCTACAGTTTTGTGACAGTGGCGTGTAACAGAGTATTCCAATATATTATTTGCCTGTATATATGGTATAAACCTTTAATTAATTTTATCTTTTTCTTTTCAAGCATTTGTATTTAAACTTTTAAAATGCCGGATTCAGACAGAAGATCTTCTGCAGAGCAAAATCTCGCTGACAATGCTCTTCCAATTCCGATACAAATATTCCTGTGGAAGCAAGTCAGGTAAAAAAACCGCTATTACAATTCGAAAAACATTACACTGATTTTAAAACATATTCTCATATTTAGCCCGTTTGTTCGCCCGAAGCTTGGAAAACACCATGAAGCCTCTTGCGCGGTAAATACATTAAAAAATTTGATATTTTTATATGAAATTAATATTTTGCAGTTCTGTCAAAACGCTATGACCGGCCATCACGTGAGTAGTTGAAAATCCACTTGTTATGCATTGCCTGCTATGTGATCACGCTCTTGTACTGACTTATTTCAGGAACTGAAAGAAGCATGTAAATCTTTCGAGAAGGTGCTAGTGCAGAATATTCACTCTGGTCTAAAGCCGGACCTGGCGCAGTCTGTGAAGTCCATTCCCAGGTGGAGGCTAATTCAGGCCTCTTTGCCGCACGTTATGCACGCGGTTGCTGCAATACTCTACAACAGGTACCTATGCCTACAAGCCTTCTATGTATATCCATATAGTTGTTACGATCTCAATTGGAACCGCATAAAAACATTTAACACATCAATTCTACGGAATCCATAGACGTCCAGATAAATTTAGCCCTGTCTCGTCTAGATATACTATATTCCGAGCTATATTACCATATGATTGTCAAGTTTTTTATGTTTAAAATCGCATTGTAATAAAGCATGTCGTAAAATATCTAAAAATTTATAATTATAATCAGAATAATCGCTTAATTTATCTCGAATCATGTTTAAAGTAGGAACTTTATTTTCTTTATACATATTATAAATTGTGCGCCGCATTACATCTGGTAAAGTCGTCAATTTTCTTTAATTTTGTATTTTTCCGTTTCCTCTTTGTACCGTGATCAATCCTTCTTTAATTACGCGATAAATTGGCCTTTTTTGGATATCTTAGTTAATTCGTTAATCCGTTTCCTAACTTTTTTATCACATTGTTCACTATTTTCAATTTTCAAACATTCATATATATTTAATATAATACGTTGACTTTTTACGTGTAAATCTTTGTTTTTAAACTCTGAGTTTGTTTCGATACTTTCGACAAAAACCGGTTCCACTATTTGGGGATTTTCCCGAGTTATTTCGTTATCCTCCGCTTCAAAGAGTCTCCAGAGAGCCACGCTAAATTACTAGATAATTACATATAACATTTATTTTAATAACTATTACCCTTTACTGGTTACGATATGAACAAATAATAATATCAACTAATAAATAATAATACGTATTATACCAACAACATACCCCGCCAAGCAATGCTCTGCACGGCACTAGCAAAGCGGCAAAGCTAAGTGAACCCGTGTACCATACAAAAAAAAATTATTTACGACCTAGTGGACCAATACAGGTTTGCTTTGATGACCAGCGCGCTGCCGTCAATTCTACATCAGGTGGACTAGTTTATACATCAGGCGGACTCTAGTTTACCAATACCGGACGCACCAAATTGCTATTCGAGTATAAATTACGAGACACATCATGGTCAAAGCATAAGAAGAAATTTCAGGAGAAGTGCATACGGTCCTGTGCTTTAAGATTTACAGGTTCCAATTGAATTGACATCGTAACAACTATACAGTTGATAGCTGCCTAAGCTCTCGAATAAAATGATACAGCGTTGCCAGATTGTACATTTTTTCAGGATATTTAAGAAAAATAATTTTTGATAGTCGGTTTCTTTTATCAAGACCTATGTTGTTCTAGGATGAAGGACGGCAACATCCAAAGCTTAGGGGCTGTCGAAACAAAGTTGTTGTACACTCTGCATTGGATAATATTGGACGCAGTGGATGAATGCGCTGACGAGGATTTTGAAAAGGGCATTTATCACTCTTCCCCTTTCTACTATTTGTTTTCTGTACCAACAATCACAGTAAGTCATTCTAATATCGAAGCTTTCACTACCACATCAACTCGAATTTCGTTTTGCAAGTAACTGTCTTCAAATTTAACATGTTGGCAACATTTCATCCAGTCTTCGACGATAACTGATGGAGATTCTTTTTCTGTCAGAGCTTTCACAGCTACGTTGTTAAAAAATATCATTAATCTGAAAGTATAAGATTTAAGAAAACATTTACTTGGTAAAAAAAAGTAATGAATAAATAAATTAAGGCTTGAAAATGTTTCTATTTATTATTATTCCAACATAAGGTCGGCTTGGGATTACAATAAAAGTGAAAGTGCTTGAGCCAAAAACAGATCCGTTTTTGGGGTTGTTGGAAGAACAGATAAACATTAGGTGCAAGTTTTGTAATCCCAGACTGGCCAGACCTGTAGTATAAACTCTGTTGCTTCTGTTCCAGCTGTTCGTGTATCTGTTCGCGCCGATCTGCAACAACCTGAAGGAGTCGGACTTCCAGAACTTCAGGCTGGAGAACGGCTTGAAAATCTGGCAGGCCATGTGGGAATTCCGACACCCCGATGCCCCCTGTTTTGTTACCCACTGTAAACCGAAGCCCAAGCTGCTGGACGGACAGCATATGAAGGTCAAGCAACAGTTCGGGGACGTTTTTCTGGGCCGTGAGTACTTTAGGAACAAGCAAACTAATGCTAGGGTCACATGGAGCGCTATGCTAGCTAGTTCACTACATTTGCTATACGATACGCTCACATACTTCTATCCTATACTGATCATTTTGCAATTGACTTGAAGCCGAAAAGTGGGGCGACGTACCAGCGTATTCATACGCATGCGTTTACTTTACGGGTTTTGATTGGTTGAAAGGAACCAAGAACGGTGAGCGCCGAGCGGTAAAAAGCCAAACCGAGCTAACCTAAAAAATATTCTCAATTTCTCATTTTGTTTTGTGTTGCGCTAGTGCTTTGGTGAAACTGTTATGGTATAGTGTATATTTTAATAAATAAATAAATAAATGTATCTTTTGAGTTTTATTTCATAATCTGTTTAAACCTGCACTAATTCTTCTATTAATTTGTCTTGTGTTGATATTTAGTAAAAATGTTTCAAAATTATACTCGATAAGAGCCTTCCTTAAGGGCCTTTAAATAGTGTTTTCCGCAAAGACAAATAATTTCAAACATTTAATAACTGAATAATCTAAAGTTATTAAAT